AAAAAAAAAAAAAAAAAAAAAAAAAAAAAACACATCATAGTAAAATTAATATCTTCTCAGCTTCGCATCGAAGCTAAAAATTAAATTCACATCATCTACATAATTTTCATTGCATAATAATTCTACAAAACTAACGTGATTTTGTTCATTAATTAAGCAGACTACAATTTAACCATTTAATTGCCACATAATTTATTTTTGTAGGTATTGCGGCTGTATGATATCACTGTAACTTTTAAAATAACGTAATCAAGCTCGCTAGTGTACTTCTCATTATGTAAGCTTTAATAATTAAAAAAATTTTTTAAATAGTCATGTAACAACCACGTACATGCTATGGAACTTGGTGATCAGGATTAATAATAAATTCAATGAAATTTATAAAAAAATGAACTTATGAATACTAAATAAAATAAATTTGGTTATATTTTAGGTCATATTATGTAGCCCTTGAGTGATTAAAGCTAATATAATATATTTACTTAATAGCACATAAAAACTATTATTAATTATTTTTCGAGGTCTTAAAATATAAAGAAACTTCATGAAGACTCCTCTTTATCATCGTAAACCCGTACTCTTCAAATGCAGTACAGAGAGGAATAATATTGAGTAAAGCATAGCAGTACAATTTTAAGTATAACAATTAAAACGACGAACTAATATACAGGAAGACTATCCCTACCGCAAACTTGGAACAACGCATAGAACCAAATAAAAATTAGTTTTTAAAAAATGAATAGCACTATGAATAAGTATAACCAATGATCTTATTTTCTCAAAAGTTAATTTCGATCTTAAAGACTATCATTAGTAATTTATATCACAGTTTATGAGATAAAAGTTAAATATTATATTTTTAAATTATACTTAACCTCTATTTACTTATCATTCTTATCTATAAGGTGTTATCGTTGAATAATTATGTGATTTTAATTATTTAATTTTTTTTTTATTACTGCTAAACACAAAATTAGAATAGAAGTGTCTTTGTAATTTTATTAACTTATAAATAATCTAATCAAATACTGTTTAAGCATCATTCAATATAAAAATAGGTATACTAACAAATCATACACTGTATAAATACGAAGATATCGGAATAAAAAATTATTTTTATAATAGTTCAACATATTTAACTTATCTAATAAACGATCACGTAGACCATAATCAATATCCGTATAAAATAATAAAATTTAAATAAATATTAGTCAGACATATTATAAATGAAACGTAAGTAAAAAACTATGACATGTTTTTAAACAAATATAATGCTATGGTACTATTCTTAATAATAAATAGAACACAATCCTTGATTGTCTTGTGGCTCAATGTATTCCATTTCCGCGTAAGCATAATCAGAATTTTCAGTGAATTTAATCAACCCAAATTTTTTAAAGCGATTTCCCCACGTTCTTTTAGATGTATGATGAAGTAATGCGTCAATAATTTTCGATTTCAATTCACCTAAAGAGAATTATTCATAAGTATCATCTAATAATCATTAGTGGTAAATTATTTACTATTCAAGTTTTTGTTGCATACAATCGGATATGGTGGTAAAGGACCGATGCTGTCAAGAATACAAATATCATTACTATCATTATGTAAAATATTTTTATAGTTGTAAAACGCTGTTGAGTCTACAGCCGCAGCAGTAACTTGTTTGTTTTGTACCTTTACAACGGACATCAAATGATTTCCTGTTCCTAAAAAAAATATTAAATAGTTGATTATTGTTACTCCTATTTTTTTTTTATTTTTAATGTTCTAGAAAAAATGAGCAATTTTTTGCTGAGGTATCTCATTGATAAAAAATCAATTTTTTGTAAAAAAAAAAAAATTATTTCATTACAATACCTTACAAACATTAAAACGAAAAAAAAAACAAATAGTTCCTTACGAAATTAGAGTAATATAACTATTCAGCAATGACTATCATAGACGATGTTGTTTTCATTCTTTGTAATATGAGAAAAATAATTATGAAATCAATTTTTTGAGTACAATTAAAATTAAATTTTTTTCATAACACGTTTAAAAACTATTTCATTTTTCTGAATATCAAATTACATTCATTTTAACATACAATAACACCTAGTAATTTTTTTTTGTTAGGTGCATTTTATAGGCTATTTTAATTGCCAATTGAAATTGCTAATAGAAATTATAGTATATAAATAATTGGAATAGATATTATGTAATATTTACTTATTGTATTGCCAAAAAAAGACGAATTTTCGCCATGCGTTCGCAGTAGCTTCTGAATTGATATACTACTACTTAACGAATTATTATTTGTAAATGCCCAACTGTTGCCTCTTAAATCTAAAAATGATTTGACGGTTTTTCTAAATAAAAAAAAAAAAGGTTTAAAAAACATAACTTTATATTTGAATCAAATAGTACATCCAGAGGTGATTCTATACTGTCGTGTGTGTATGGGATCACCCCAACCCAAAATACTGACTCAGCAATTTTGTACTAATTTGGTAATTATATCGACAGTAGTGTAAGTCATTGAGATACCATCTTGTCAATCCATAATTACAGATTAATATCAATTGATTTACATCACACTTTTCAAACCAGTCTATTATAAGCATACTATTACAATTTATTTCAGTTATAAGCTTATTGATATTATAATTAAGAAATAATAATAACAATAACTAAAATCCATATAAATTAATTTAGTATTTAGAATTGCATTTTGAAAAATCTCCTAAGGCAACCATTCCCTTTATCCGTTTCTGANAATTGCATTTTGAAAAATCTCCTAAGGCAACCATTCCCTTTATCCGTTCATAGTGAAGTTTAAATTTTTTATAATTCAATTAATTATCTTACTGTACATCCTTGTGCATAATAATATCAGCATAGTATCCAGAATTTTCATTACTGTTTTTTACATGTGTAAATACTGGTGTAACTGACAGAAGTTCAAAGTTTTTTATAACCCTTAATTTCTTCATGTATACATACTGCATGGGAGTGAAAAAACCTGTAACATGGCATATATATCATAGCATGTATGATTCATTAAACCTATAAAAATAAACATAACAATTAGTATAACTTTTGAAATATTACAAAAGAGATTCTAAGAGTAAATGCTTAAATTATTGTTTAGTGACATCTCTGTTCACAGTTCACGAGTTTCAATCTTGATCAATAAAATGTAAATATTCTAATGTTTAAAAAAAGAATAATGAACACAAATGTGACAGATTGGTCGATTGTTTGAAACAAGGTCAGTTTGGGCAAATATAAAATCAAAATTTTTTATCAAGTTCTTTAGAAGTTATGGTGTTTATTATTATTTTTACAGGCAGTATATTTAACTCAATATAAACAATTTGTGAAAACACACAAGAAGTTAAGTTCTAAATATTCTCTTGTTCACATATTAATGAATGGTCCATATACTGATACAAAGTATAATATTTTTGAACTATTTTCAAAGTCACTTTTATTATTAATTTTTACACTTCTAGCACATGTAGAGTACTAAAAGTATGAACTACTAGAACTAGAGTACTAGTAATTGATTATAATTTATTTTTTATTATTGTCATAGTATATATATATATAATACCATCTTTTAAAAGGTATTGCTTGTGAAAGGAAAACCTATGTAACTCAATAGAAATGAACGCCAGTACCAACACACCAAGGCACGAAGCCTATCTGATTGGGGCCTAATCAAATAAGTTTACAAGGCCTACAAGAAGCCTTGTAGACAACGAATTGTGCTTACAAGAAACATTGCATGCAAACAATTGTAACAAACCTCTTTTTTTCATCCTAATTAACTCTATTTATATGAACTACTTGAGTACTTAAGGCTTTAAATGCATTGGGTATATGTAAATTTATTTGATTTCAAAAAATCGAGTTCATAGTTGTTGTTTTTCATATTATAAAAAATAAAATAAAAGTCTATAAATGTGTTTTTTTAATTTTTACTAGGAAGAACTGTTATTTTTTATACTAAACATAAACTTTTTTTTTTATACCACTTATACTCCCTTACATTCTAAGCACCTCAGTTACATTGCTAAGTAAATAAAATGATAAGTACAAATTTATGTCGATATAATATTTCAATGCAACAGTAGCATGATATTATTACTCTATTTGCGATAAGTTTAGTATAAAATATTGACTAGTAAAAAAAATGAAAAGATAAACACATATTTAGTGTTAAGTATATTATTGATAATATTACACTTAACTAAAAGTTTGAACTCAAATACCCTTAAATACTTTCTAAAATTTCTCTGTAAAAATGCCTTAATAGTATACAATTGATTTAAAAATATAAAAGTGATACGTAAAATGTCTATTTATACTTCAATTGCTGTGAAATAAAAAATAATAATCTTTAAAAATGTCTACAACAATATTTTCAACACATTGGTTTGATTTTGTATTAGTATAAATAGTTAAAAAAGTATACTACATTAAAAAATATAGTATTTCAATACAATATTTTGATAAGTTTCATTGTTTTAGACCCCCCTCCCTACGTTATGTCAATAAATATTCTCATACATAACATAAAAAAGTAATAAATATCAAAAAATGTTTATCGCTTTGCCAATACACTTATAATTTACTTAATTATAATTAAAAAAAAAATTAATAATTGATATTATATTTAAAAGTATTAAATTGATTTGAATAAATTGAAATGTAATTTGTTTATTTTCACTAAAATTAGACAAATTAATTATTAATTAATAATTTGAGAAAAAATAAGATAAATATATCTATATTAAAATAAACTTGTGAATACTAAATAATTAACAATAAAAAGTTGGTTCTCATAGATGATCTTTGAGCATTTAACCCAGAGTAACATATATACTTAATAGTATACAGTGGTCGAAGTGGCTCAAAATATGTGGAGGGATGAACTCCATTTTTGTCGATAATCTAAATACACATTGAATAATATAAAGAGGGATGTATTATTTTAGAGATAATAAGTAGAGGTATGAAAAATGTAAATTAAAAAAAGTAGAGGGATGGCATCCCTCCGTATCCCCCCCCCACTATGACCACTGATAGTACATAAAAGCTATTATTAATAATTTTCTAAAAGTTTAACAATAAAAAAAACCTACAAGTTCATGAAGACTTTTAAAGAAATATTATTCATTTATAATATGATAAAAAATCATTTATTTACGAAATTTCAATTATCAGCTATTAATTATTTATTATTAGGTATAACAACAACTTGAATACTATTTTAAATCATTTATTCTAATTAAAAGAATGCGCTCTCATAATATTTATTATTTTCATTAAAATAATACATAAATAAAATAATTAAGTAATTTTAAACTATAAATATAAATTGTTTGCGAAAATCCGTTAGGTTGTTACAATTACACTGCATAAACTTTTCTCACGAATTTCAGTATAATTATTTTGAATTATAAATTGGATATAATTAGTAATATTTTATATGAAAAAAGTCTCTATCCGACATTACTTATAACCTATTGTTTAGTATACATTAATTGTAAGAAAATAAACACCAATACGGTGTACTAGTGAAAATAAACGCACCGATATCTATTTCGTTGAGCCAAAAAGGATCCGGTCGTGTTTCAAACAATTCGGTTGGATCTCTGGATTCGTAGACCAAAGTGGCTTTAAAATTGAGTTCATCTTCCAAAAAATGAGCAATACACTCGTATAAATCCACGGGATGACTGGGTACCAAGTATGTGGCTAGTCGCAGTGACTTTTCCGTATTTGCTAGTGACATTTTTTAGAATTCAAAAGTTTTAACTTTTAGGACTTTCTAACGCAAACAGACGTCGGCGATTGTAACGGGTATCGTCAACTGATGTAAATATAACATGATGGGAAAATATTTTTTTATTTAGAGGTGGAAAAATGTTACGTTTATATATTGTTATATGAATACTTATCGGTTGAAAGGAAAACGTTGCCATTTGGACATTGGTGTGCAGATAAGACGCGGGATTAAGAATGTGTACCGTCAAACGTCGTTGAACTATGATATTGAATATAGGTATAACTAATGAAAAATAGTTATAATAAAAACCCAATACCTGTTCATTGTTCACCTTCATCAAATGTACAAATCATATCAGTGTTTTAACTATTATTTAAAGAAATGTGTGTTATATATTACTCAAAGTTTACTTAATTTAAAACAGTTAATTACAAATATATCCAAAAATCATTTTACTTAAAGGTTCACAAATATAATTTAAATATCTGTTGCAAATTTTGATTCGTTTCAATGAATAATGGTTAAAGCCTATAGTTGCAAACTAGATATTGACCTAATTTTTTATTTAAATCGATTCACTATATATTCGTTAAAGTCGAAATTTTATTGAATTTAAATTGGATTATTTCCCTAATTTGGATATGAATTTTTTAAGGTGATTAGTTCTTATACATGACGATAAAAATATTCAATAATATACATTTTACTCTAAATTCGGAAGTTTGGAAAAAAATCATTGTAAAGTTGTATTTCATTAATATAATTCCAAGAATTTTTATACAATGGATGTGAACTGTACATTGGAACTGCATGAAGTCGTGTACACGTTTGTATTATGAATAATACACATATCTTTTATTAATAGATATCAATGTCATTGCTCCAAACAATAATGTAAAATATACATAATCAGACTGTTCAAAGTCCATGTTTATGTAAAAGAAATAATTTCAATTAAATACAATGTTGGTTAGCGCAGAATGATAACGTGTATAAACTTGGCACTGAGTATTGTTAAATTTAATTTCTCACTTAATATTAAAAAATGTTATTTTAGCCCTCGATAACAAAAAAAGCCACGATAAGGCAAATCTATGTCGATTTTTTTTCAACCTAATGTCAAACAAACTTGTTTTAAATATAACAATTTTACATTTATTATTTTGAGATATAAAGTATAGAAATGTTTACTTTTGTAACATTATGACCTACACTTTATACTGATAATAATCTTAATTCAGCTACGCAATGGGTACTTGGCATTTTTAGCATCTTAAGGTGATTTGGACAAGCAGGTCCGTTTATACCTATTTGGGGCACTGGGGCTATATTTTAAAATGGGCCACAAGAGAAATTTTTTTATAAAAATCATAAAGAATTTTTTTTATTACAATAGAAATAAAAACAGCAGATAATAAAAAAATAAATAATAGTAATATAACTATTTTTTTAAGTCATTTTAGCAATTAGGTGAAATACAAGACTAGTTTATTTTTATTGTATGCTCCTATTACTCGCATAGCTCTCATTAATTTGGGTCTGCGGACAAGATAATTGCAAATAAAATGTGCGTAGTACAATGATGAAACGATTCAAAGATTATTGTTTGAAAAGTACAAAAAGCTTTTAGTAGAATTTCTCGACTGGTGATTTTCTTGTCATCATGAACTCGGTTAAACTCGTTTTCTTAAAAAAAATGAAATACTCCCCAGTGTATCTACTTACCGCCCAGACACTTAAGACGGAAATGATCATAGAACCTGACATCGCACATTTATTTGTTTCACACACAAGCTATACTTTTATCCACTAATGCATTACATTTAAAAGCGACTAAACCTTTGGCAAATATCTTTTGGTTGTAAATATTGATGGTAATGTCGTCGACAACGAGAGCGATCCAAACGAACGAAAGTCCCACCGACCGACACGCTTAATGTAACACGATTGATGAAACCTTCGCCCGTCCGTAACACACTCGGTGACTAGAAAAAAAAAAGAAAAATTCACTAAAACAAAATAAACCGATAAAATATCGTTGACATCGTAGCAAAATTGTCTTTTTCCATGTGTTTGACCGATCGAGTGGCGTCGACATTGCGTCTGTACTGAGTCGTCCTGTTCTTCACGAGCCTCGTACGCACACACACACACACACACGGTCGTAAATTCCGCGAACCGCACACACATACGCGAACACACGCGGCACGGCGGCTAATGGAACAGCCGGTCCGGTTGACCGTCCAAAGACCATAATATTATTTTCTCTACCGCCACTGCAGTCGAGTACGCCGTTCGGCAATTTACTATTCACTAGCGCTCGCGAACGTCACACACACACACACACACATTCACACCGCCGTATGCATTGCTCGATAGCAGCAGCAACACTGCAGAGGCAGCCGGATGTACAGTCCGGACGGCGAACAACCGGTATGTTGTGTACGGCTATGGTCGGACCAAAGTCGCCAGCGTCCGAAATGGCAAAAAAACAGCTTACCGGAAATACCGGAAAATTGTCAACAGCCGTCCAAGCGCGCGACCGTAAGAAAAAAACAGTTACTCTTTTTTTTCTTCGGCTCCGATACGTCGACGCTACGAGCGGATATCGTAGAAGAGTAGCACATTTTAAATTGCCAAGTCCAGACGTCTTTCACGCTCTGTGGTTTGTGTAGACCAAAAGAATTTCGAAAGTTTTCATTCGCTTTGAGAACACTCAAGTCCAGAAGTCCATAGTAATTAAATATTTTTAACATTTGAAAAAAATTTACACGTTCTAAATCACTTTCCGTTGTTAAACGTACTTAGTGTACAGCGGGTAATTATTGACCTCGTCATTTAATGATTTTATTGTTACGACTTAACATTGAAATTATGTTCACCAATTGCCGTAGCGATTACCATAAAAGACATATTATGGGCGAACGTTTCAAACGAGATAATTATTGCACTGAAGGAACCCAATGAATAAATATTTTACGTGGAAATAATAATGTCTGTGGAGTGTTTGTCGTGTACAGAGTTTGAAAACAGTGAGCGCTTGTTTATAAAATAACGTTGAAATACCTTAGGACACAAAAAGAGAGCTTTTAAAATTTATCCACGAAGCAAATGTTAAGAGCGTTTTTAATTTAATAAACTAACATTGCTTAAGAAACATGGCCTAATTATAAACGTATTTCAATTATTAGATTGTTAACAATTCATTAAAAAATGACTCGAATTTTCTTACAATTTTATATGACTTTAAATAAATGATTATAAGATGTTTAGAGAAATGTTAATTAAAAAGACTACTTCGTTACATTTCGAAAATAATTTTTTTAAACTTCCAGAAGAAACTTAATATGGGCTTTCCTAAAAACTGTTGTTGAAATAGTATTAACCCCTTGCTGGTATTGTCTTACATAATCAAAACTAATGTTTTTTAACGATTTATGTACTAAAAATATTCCCTAATTTTAACCAGAATACTTTTTAAATGTAATTTAACTTTTTGATGGCCCTACCTTTAAAAAGTCTTTATTTTTCAGATTATTTTGAATTATTTTTATTATTACCTATAAAATCAAACAGTAGTAATTATTTTTGCAAGAGATGCATGAAATGTTTTATTTAAACCAAAATCATTGCCAATATACAAAAAAACAAAATTGTCAATTTAGTTTGATATTAGTTTTGGCAAGTTGTTGGATGTTTTTTTTTGTTATTGTTAGATAAATGAATCACGAATTCAGACGCATACAAACAACAATTAATACTAATATATCTCGAATAAGTACACGACTTAAAAGAATTATAAACAAATTGTATTATGTAATATACGTTTATGCAATTAGGCATACCGTAAATCAGTAGTCGAAATTACGAGTCCAATTCTTCTTCAAGTAGATGAGCGCTAATTAGTTAAAAAATTATCTTTTATATTACATTACTAGTAGTTTCAATCATATTATTAATGGCGAACGAGAGATTGTAAAAATATATATTTTATTTTTTGTCTATAATTTATGTTGTAATCTTGTAATACCTTAACAATTTGTCAACGATATTGTATTCGATCTCTTTGAATTTATATGTATTAAATAGTCGAATGAAAAAACAAACAGGATACGAATTACGTAAATCCGATTTGGTGAGTCAATATATTTATGTTTAACTTCCCACGAATAAATATACAGCACTGTACCCGTTATTTATAAGAATTTGAAAAGCGTTTTCTGTCTAGAAAACAAATTTATAGGGTAACAATTTTTTACAGTAAGTAAAGTTCCCAGAAGGAATTTATTCAACATCGACTTGGTTTATTTCAAAAAAATTTAAATGTTGTTTGCTCGAGGAAAACACATAACGATGTGTATAAATGTCAATCAATTAATAGTTTTACGTTAATAATTAAAATCGATTGATTGTAAAATCATCATCTTCGAACAACAGATTCCGTAAAATGATTAGCCATCGATACTCTAAAGATATGCAGTCCGTAGTGTCAATGAGACCTATATCTACCTGTACCGTTTTGAAAATTAATTATACTTCTTAAGCGATCTGGAAACATGGTAGAATGTGCGGTGACAGCGGTAAAAAATGAAACGAGCCACGCGCATAAACGGCGGAGGAATCGCGTGCACCAACGTGTCATATCCGGTTACCGAATGCCGCTGAATCAGTGCATTTGATATTTTTTACTTTTCATTTCAACGTACTGCGTTGTGACCGAATAGTTAATCGGTCTGCTACGTCGTTTCACCACTGGACTATTAACGAACCACACAAACTAATTCGCATTGTCGAAATAATTGTTTCTCTTTTGATTGACCTACACCTACGTACGACGTATTGCAATCGTTTAATACGCCTTTGTGATTTTACTGAATACATAATAATGGCCTTAAAATAATTTAGTAGAGCGCATTCGAATCCGTTGGAAGTATTAAGCGTTAAAATTTGCAATACGCCAGTTATTATTTTAATAAAAAATCTATAGAAACAAATTAATCGATAAAATTTTTGTTTAATTTCACCGGAAAGGTATTTTAGTATCAAACATAATTGATTAATACTCCCGAAATATCATTTTTTAGTTCTACCTTGATGTTAATTCTTTTGTTTTTGAATTAATCTATTATTTTTACGGACCTTCACGTAATAACAAGTTATTTTTAATTTTGCCAAATATCTAGACACTATAAACTATAGTTATGTCTAATGAGTCTCAAGGTTTTTAAGTAATTGGATTTATTTTTTGTAAGAAACCAGGTTTTGAAAAACATTATCTATCGTATTTTCTGATTTACCCTAGAAAAATAGAACTTTATTGGACAAAATTAATAAATTAAAACACTAAAAAACTGTTTGAATTACAATTTATATTAGTTATATTATTTTAGTAGTTAAGCAATTCGTATAGAAACGTGTTAGTTATGAGTTGTTAGACTTGATTATTTTATCGACATAGGTTTTTGTTTTGTCGGCATGTAAATTATAACAAAACTAGTCTAATAAAAAAAATCTTTTGAACAAAATTAAAAATTAAAAGAATGACGTAAAAAGGCTTCTTAAAATTAAATTGCGAGACAGTTGTATCTAATGTTTAAATTGTTTAATTTCTCTAATTTTTTATATGAACTAAATGAAGTATTTTGACCGTCACTATTGCAACAAAAAAATGATGAGCGTTTAAAAGAATATTTTATTTTATTGATTTTACATGTTAAAATCTCAAGTTTCAATTGATTTAAAAACATTAAAAAGTCAAAGTATTTATGAAAGTGGATTTCTTACTCTCCACCGTAACTAAATTCCTACTTAATAAACATTTTATTGGGGTTAAAAAAACAACGAACATCTATTTATCATTGATGCAGTCGGAATGACTAAAATAAATTTTATATATACATTAAGTCCCAAATTCTATTGATGGAAATTGAGTAGTTCATAAAAAACTCATAAAATCTTTCATAGTTAATTATTTTACAAAGATTATGTAAGTTATTTTAGAAATTTACTTCATATTATTAAAAGTTTATACAATTTTAATTTATTAATCATCCGAAGAATTTGAACTCATTCAAAAATTCTAACTTTAGGTATTCAGAAATTTTTTTTTACCCATAAATGCTACACGGTACATTAAATTACTATCAAAAAATAACCTTTATTGTGAAGTACAAGGTACAGAATACAATTTATAATTTTAAATGAAAAAAATAATTTAAATAATTTATTAAAAAGTTGATAATAAAAGTAATTAGTTCGTTATACAAACAGTTTAAATTTAATAAAATCTTTTCGTCCACTTGGTTAAATTGAGTTGAGGAGCAGTTGACTTTGCCGAGTCTTTTGAAAAATTAATTTCCTTTAAAATGTAGTCCATACACTGAAACTTGTTACGTATAATAAATCACGGTTATTTTTTATCATCTACTAATTATTAAAATCCAGATTTTCTTAAGAAACTTTAGCTTAAAAGAAAATATGCTTTATATTAAATATGTTTTAATGAGATACCAGTGATTTTTAAATATCTCAATTAATGATAAAAAATAAATAGTATACTAAAAAATTACAGTTCGAATAAATTAAAAATTTATATTTCTAAAGTATTTTATAATTTGTTGAATCTTATAAGTAGAAAGAGATAACTGGAGGTCATGAACCTCCCTTAAACATGGCTGCAATTAAACATTATAGAATTATAAACCAGAAACCAATTATTAAAAACTGGTTATTTACCAATAACTTTCTCAAGTACCTAGTATATAACTTTGTGGTAAAATTCATTATTTTAAGAATTTCGATCGATTTATTATTATTAATTCGTAAAAAAAGTAAAATAAATAATTTTGTTAGTAAAAAAAATGGAATAAAAAGTTTATTGTACGGAGATGTTACAGTACATGATACAGTATTAATTAATCCACGTTTCAAATGACTGTAATTCCTTTTCAATGTTATTATTACACCTCTTGTGCATAATTTTTCTTTCGACGTGTAAGACCATCAAAAAGATGAGAAGAATAAACGATTGGAGGGGTTCTAATGTAATACATCGACCTATAAAAAATAGATAGCACGGCTAGATAAGGCACTCGGTCACTATGGTAAAGTGCACATTGTATAAATGTATACATATGAAGTTGTGGTACACCTTACAAGAGCTTTTACAGGAGAAATAACATTTAAGCGTTGGCCGATTGGAGCGCGCATACAAATTACGGTGTGCTTTCTGTCAAGATGGCGCTTGCGTGGCACTGTAGACTATCCGTGTAACGGTTCCATTTGGGGGCCAACACAATTTTATCGACTGTCGGCGGGCGGCCAGTGCGACTCTAACTTACTTGACCGCGGGATGCGATTTTTGCACCGCCGAATTTCCCTGTTGAAAACGTCGTCTTCTACGCCGTTAACAGCCGTTACCGTCTGGCGGCAAATTTGACCACACCGAACACCATACGCTCATCATTTACTGTTGGCTGAGCTCGTCGTCCCCCGCGGGGAGACATTCTTGCGGTCCGCCGCCGCCACTGAGTCTGGCCGGCAGGAGAGGTACTGTACAAACATAAAATTATCGTAGTATATTTGATGAATCCGTTTTGTTTAGATCAACTCGATTTAATAATACAATTTTAAAGTTGTTTAAAAAAAATGTCATACAGCAGTGTAAAATACAAATTTGATATCGAAACGTAGATCAAGATGTTATTACACCTTTAAAAGTAATAGTGTAAATCAAACATATATGTGCTTGATAATAATATCTCTCGAGGCTGTTGACTTTTATACACTTTAAAGTGACGGATTTTAACTTAGACTGTAATTGAAAAATATTTTATTGCTGCAAGTAATTTTATATATCAGCGTCATTTTTTTTTCCTTTTACAGGTGTTTTTCCATCCATTGCAATGCAAGAAGTGCAAAGAGCCAAAGCCAAACGAATGGCGAAAAAAGAAAATAGTTGAGTATAAAATAAATTGTACTCGGTCAAAGTATTTCATTATTAATACTATGTAAATTAACTTAAATGGATTTAAATAAATGTGACAACATGATATATAGCTGACAAAAATCAATTACTTTACTATGGCGTAATTTTGATGAAATATTCTTCAATATTATATCAGTCGTTTTACTTATGACAACCATTAAAAAAGATAATACCTTTAGAAAAACTATTACTACTAGTGGCACGTGTAGATATAATAAAAACACAGCTCCTTTTGACTAGAAAAATCTAACACTTCAGCAATAGTTTGTCTTTTTAAGAAATTTATTTGTATACTACCCGTGTTCATTAAAAGTAAGCCATTTTAATTATTACTTACGTTAATAAAGAAGGCGCTTTGGTTTCATCGTTGTAAAGTATAGTAAATAAAAATAAAAAATTAAAAAAGCTGAATTTTAAATATTATATTGAGATATTCCATTAAAAATCTATTGTATAAATATTAGTAAAATTGAAATAAATAAAAGAAAATCCCAACATTTTCACTATTTTGCGTGTAAAGTTATTTTAGAACAAAATACGTAGCTTCTGCTGTTAAAAAAACAATTTGGTTTCTGTCAAAAGATTGATTGACATTTGCTAATTATAAACGGATTGCTAAAACAGTTAGCAAGTTACATAAAACTTAAAAGTGGAGCATTATCAAGGACTTTGCATTCATTTTTTGCAAGTCGGCAAGATAGTCGTTTTGATAATTGATTAAATAAATATGTAAATTTTTTAATCCAACGTTGACAATATATTTTCATAGACTATCGCGCTTTATAAATGTGTCACTAATAGATTGACGAGATTAAGTTTATTCTTCGGATATAACAAAAAACTACAGCACGAAAAAAATTAAAGGATATGCATAATATGTATTTTTTTAACATATTATTAAGGTGAAAATTATATTTTTTTTACGACGAAAAAATACACAACAAATCGAAATTTACAAAATTTATTTTAAATTATTTAGTAATAGTTATTTTAAATTCAAGGCGATAAAAATAAATCCTCTTGTGAACATTTANGAAACGGGTTTCTATTGTTCTCGTTGTTACAAACAATGAGAACAATAGAAACCCGTTTCCTGACTTACTGAACACCCTGTATATATATATATATATATCAAATTTTTTACATTATTTCTTATAAAATTAATTAGTTATTAAAGAATTCATTTGGCCCACATTAAAACAGATAACATTAATTCAGTTTAAATAATTTAATGTAACATTATTAAATTAGTTGGTGATTTATATTTTCAAATAAAATATCAAACATCTTATTCAATAAAATTTGATCAATTTATTTAGACGTTAATATCATAAGAGTTTAGCTTTGTATCCCTTTCATATTCACCAAAAGCCACAAAATAGTGTTTTTCGATCGAAATCAATAAAAATATTTTATATTTCGAAGTTTGAAGACCTATAGTTCTTAAAGTTGCAATTTACAATATTTTCATACCTTATTAAATACAGGTTTTGTTACATCGCTGAAGTTTTTTTACTAATGAGTAAACATTTAAAATTTAATGTAGTAGTATATCTTAAATTTTTAGATATTCAGCAACTAAGTAACCCAAGCCGGGCTTGAAATCATTTTGTGGCGATTGAAGCTATAAAAATATAATGTACAAACAAAAAAATCAAATTTAATTAACTACATTATGTGGTGTCGTCAGATATTTAATGGTTTAAATTATATCTTCATGAATGTCGAGAATACGATATCCTTCATCATTAATTGTAATTATTAATGATTTTCATTTTTTTTTTTTATGTAAAACAAAAAATTTACTCTTTAAAATAAAAAGTAGTAAATAATACTTAATAAAAAAAAAAGTGACCAAAAAAAAAAGATAGATAATCGTTAAAACAATGAAACGACAGTTACATAAAATTTATATAAATGCATAAAAGATTTAAGCAATTATATTTTTACAATATTTAAATTAATCATAATCATAAAGTGTACAAAAATGATAGCAATGTTTTCAAACAATAAATATTTTTAATTGTATATTATTAAACCACAGATTATACGAATTGCTATAAACATAAAAAAACAATGGCTTAACTATGATTTTTTCAGGGGTACAAAGACGTTATACAATTTTCCGATCTATACTATGCAAATATTTTCGTTTTGGTAATTATACATCTCTCATTCCTACCCTAATTAAGTGTTTATTAGAAATACATTTTTTGTGAGAGAACGAATTTTTTGACTATTTATGAAAGGTATCTGTTTATGACTTAATCCCATCTCATTAACTTCTAAAAATTAATCATAGACAATTGTGCTATTGTAAACTCATTAAGTGACGTACGTTAAATTAAAATGGAATAATTAATTAGTACGATAATTATGAAATATAATCGTTTCTAATATTTATTAATAAAAATAAATTTATCATAAAAATGAAAACGTTACAGGTCATTAACCTGTTCGATTTTTTTATTGTATTCTTTTATTATTTCTCTTACCTAACTTTCTAAATACTATATTTATACGTTTATCGATATCCTAGAATTTGTTACGGCAAAATAATTTGAACAAATTAATTTTTAAAAAAGTGCTATTTATTAGAGTAAATAAAAAATCATAATAACGGTTTGCTTTTTTCAATTAAAAAATCCTTAGATGAATGTCAAGTACAAAATTTATTAGATGTGTTAAAACTTGCCAATTGTTTCAAATAACTGTTTTTAATTGATGTATAATTTTTTGTTTAAAAGTTAATATAACTAAACAATTTAAGTAGGCTTTACCCAAGTAACATTTAAAATTTTAAAAGTTAATATGTTTACAAAATATATATATATTATTTATTTAAATAATTTTAAACATTGTATAAATATTTATTACTTTATTTTTCTAAAATTACTACTTAGATAAAAATTACTATAATGTATATTGTTTATTTAATAATTTTTTGAAAATTTTCGTTATATTTCTAGGTAAAATTGAACGACAAAAATCAGTTGAAGCAGTTAACAAGAATAAAACAGTAGTCAAAACTCCAAGCTTAGATTGTAAAAAAATCGAAAAATGAACCCAAATCTATGCATTTTTATTTGAAAGGTAAATAATTAATACTTTTCGCATAATTAAACATACATTTTTGTAAGAAATTGGTAATCTAAACTATGTTGGCATCATATTTAATAAAATAACATTACATTCAGCGTGATCTGTACGTTATCAAATTAGAGACTATTTATCAAATAATACTTATTCATCAGAGCTGGTTCGAATCACCTTTTGTACTATTAAGCATAAGGTAGTTTATGTTTTGGATACCACTTATATATCCTACCGACAATTAAAAAAAAATAACTAAAATTTAAATAAAAAATGTAATACATTATATTGACTTGTTCGGTATCAAACTAAATAATAGACTTGGAATATTTAATTGACAGAAAAAACGTTGTAGTTACTTTTTTAATTTGTTAAGGTGTTTTTAATAGAAAAATATAAACTAAGTAAAAAGCTAAATAATATACATGATAGTATAGTATACATTGTATACATGTATATTGTGTAGTCCTTTTTATAGAGATATATTTTTTAATTCAAAATATTTTAGATGAGTTTCTAAATTTGTTATAGTATATCTAAAAGTAAGTTGTAGAAAATTTAGTAACAATTGATCAACTCTAATACATGACACAAAAGGGTTAAATATTTTATCTATGCGATATTTTTTAAGTTCTTTCTTGTTATTTCAAAAACTTACTATAAAAATATATATATAGAATTAAATTGTATATCTTTTAATTTCAATAAGTGAAATGTAAATGAAAAAAATCTTATACAAGTCGGGATACGGCTTATGGGATTGATACCTGACATTCATTAATAATGCTACTATAAATTCTTTAATGAGATTGTACATTAAGACATAAAAAAAAAACAATAACATTTTAATAAAAATTATATATTTTAGCATACGAACACTCTTAAAAGACAAATTGTTAAAACGTTTTATTATTAATTATAAGTAAATTAAAGTAGGTTAAATTTTATACTACTTGATGTTTTACTTGACAGACGATTTCTCATGATTAAAAAAATCGCTTTTTTTCATATTATAATACAATTTAAAAGCTTTAATTCAATATAGATTAAAAGTTATCAGATATTCTGGAACATTTTCAAAAATTGAATAGAAAAAAATTTTAAAGAACATTTAAACTCTTTTCCTGTACTTTGGTTTGAGAAAACTTGTATGTATTTTTGAAAGTTTTTTTACTTAAAATTTAGATTACATTTCTTAAAATTCATATTGATAGAAAGATGATTGTCTTTATTACTATTGATATAATTTTCATTGTGGTTTTTGATTTTTAAAATCAAAATTTATAGCAAAATGTAAAAATTGGAACGTTTCCTATTATTACAGAAATCGAGGGGAAATTTCTAAAATTATGGCGCTATTAGCTTCAAACATTTGTTTTGTGGTCTTTTTGTTAAAATATCACAATTTAAGTAAAATCAGTCTAGTAGGAGAGGAGTAATCGTATGTGTTGAGAAAAAAAAAAGTCACAGCAAAACCAATAATTTCTTAGTTACCCATTGAAACTAAAAGCCGTTTTTTTAATTTTACAATTTTATTTCATTGTAAAAATATCTTCATTCCTTTATTATTTTTTTAAAGGCGGGCATTTTCCAATCAAAAATTTTATAAAATTTATTATAAGATATGATTTAATTTAATGTTAATAACGGTAAACAAATCCCTTTATTGTTTCCCATTGTAATCTACTTCACATAATATTATTTTTTTCAGATTTTATTCATCTTTAGCATATTAACACATGCGATGACGTCAATAAATACAAATCAAAACACATGTAGCTGTTGAACCACTATTCAGAATCTACACAAGTATACATTGAAATTAGTCACTTTTTAATTGTAAACCATTTTATTTATTATTGTAAAACAATTTACCACGCCGCTTCACAATTTTGAATCATCACCCCTTTTTTTTTTTTTTTTTTACAAGCAATTCAATTATGTTTATACAAAGTATAACTATACAATTTACTAAAATATTTTTATCAACTAGAAAGATAGTGTATATAGTATTGATTATGCATGCATTTAATATAACATAAGCTCAAGTAAAGAAATTTGTTAGTGCATTATAATACATTTAAATGTCGCGTGAAATACATCTACTATGGCGTGAAAGTAATTGATATGAATGGAAAAAAATGAATAAAAAATATTAATAAAACACGTTTTTAAATTTCTTTTTCCTCTTCTTGGTCTAAACCCAACGAACTGCTTATAAGTTTTACATAAATGCGCGGCAAACATGTACAAAATGTATTTTTTTAAATTGATATTGTGGTCATGCTAAAATTAAATAATTTTCTGTCAATGTACATATTGTAATTATTCTTGCATCAACACTTTTTCTAAAAAAATGTTGTTTAACATTCATTTAAAAAAAACTATACCATATATTTAAATTTATTAATATATTCATGAATATTAGTAATAAAAAATACTAATTTTAAGTAAATAATTCTTAAATATTTATAGAAAGAAGTTATTAAAAAAATTAATTTGTAAAATATGTGTAATGTATGTGGTGACCCCCCTTTAAATTAGAAAATTTTAATATTTTGAAATATAAAACTAAAAATTAGATGTACAAACAACAAAGTTTTATTGTTAAAACGCTAAAGAGTAAAGCTGAAATAAAACGAATATTTAATGACGTGTATACAATTTTAAAGTTATGATTTTTTAAAGATATTTATGATTTAGATACTTAAAATGGACCGTACGGGCCAAATTCTTATTACTCAGTGAAAGCTATAATATATACTATACCACAAACTATCCAAGAAAAATGTCTGACTACAACAGACATTTAGGGCAATGAAAACTATTATAAGTAATAAGATGCATCCAAAGTATACTCAATTATTTTTAACTTTAATACTTGTGAAAAATCATAATTTCGGTATTTGATAGCTTAACAGAATTTAAAATTTAGTTCCTATAGCTATGATAATAATTTTAAAGCAACTTAATTGAAATCCATGAATAGATTTTAACAACTATATAAATGTTCATATTTGTACTAGCATTAAATAATGATACTCAATCGTTATGTTTCTATATAGTCATATTAAATATGTATAATGTTTTATATTATAAAACATTGAATTTATAATCTAAAAGATTCACGCGAGAACAATTAATCATCAAATGTTTTTACTATAGGCTCATTTACGAAAACGTTTTCCCTGAAGTCAAAAACATTTATATAATTATTTTATATTGATATGTTGTCTAGACGTTATATCGTTTAAGTTAATATTATACTTCATTCCATGCATGTTATGGGAACGGACAATTTTATGTAAAGAGAAAAAGTAATCTCCTCGTGGCTAGGAATTGAATTTTATTATTATAGTGTACTTAATGGCTTGGCGAAGCATTAAACCTAGCAACAGTTTTCTCGAGGGATGTGTTTTTGTTGTTAGCAAAAAATATGATGTTGAACCAGCATAATACTTGTTTTTACTGAATAAGTCTATGTATTAGCATATATTATGTACAGTGCAATAAATAAATAATGAATAAACGAGCAAAATTTTTTCTGAACATATTGAGTATGAAATATTTTGCACGATCTGATATTGTGTACAATGATACTGCTGACGTTATGCGATTTTTTCTCGCACTACTTCGACACGGTGGCCTGCACTTGAAGTACGCTTGACACGTACAACTGTAAAAAACGACGAGATTATCATAAACCCTCAAGATGAACAATTGTTTTCAGGCTGAAGTACACTGGTTAAATTTCTAAAAATAATTTTTTCTTTTTTATAGAAAATATTTTATTAAGATTACAAAAAAAATTTTAAACTCTACATAATAAATTCATTATTTAAATTGTAGTTAGAGTAAGCAAAAAATGTATAATATTATGGTAACCATTGTTTTTGTTCAATAATGACTCTCTGTCAAAGTAAATTAGTTGCTATTTAAAATTTCAATTTACATTTATGACAAACCGCTTCAGACTACAAAACTATTGTAGTTTGATTATTTATAGATTAATAGTTAATTTGTGGTGGTCAGTAATCAATACTTAAAACTTTGGACCTTAAAAATTATTATGAAAAACGTATTTCATTTGAATATTTTATAATCAGATAAGTAATTTGGTCGTTTGATTTAGTCAAAGTAATAAAAAAAAGAATTGAAAATGGAGCACACTACAGATAGCTGTCGGTAAATAACTTAAAAGAGAAAAAATTAATTTTTCAAGTTATTAAATTTGAGTGTTTATTTATAGGGTTTTCACGTGCAATGTCACGGCAATTTATTAAAGGGCAATCAATTGTGTTGTAAAAATAAATTGAAGGTTATGTCGAATCGATGCGAATCATAAGTCATAATATAATATCTCCGATTAAAGAAATTTCAATAATAGTTTTGAAGGAGGATAAAATTATCTTGTTTATTGTTATAATAAATTGATTTTAAGACAATATTTTCATAAGTAAAAGTGTAAGTTTGAGTGAATTCAACAATAATATACTTAATATTTTCAGATTTTTAAAAATCTATAAAAAATGCAAGTAATTAATTGAACAATTGCCAACTGAATACTCAAATCACTTTTGAGTTTAATAATATTGTTTAATACATATTATATATATATATATATACATTCTATCATAATTAAAGTTCAAGAGATATCTCGAGTATACTAACTATAAGAGATGTATTTGTTAACTAATTGTTTGTCTTTGTAATCGTTTGAAGATTAATAAATGCAAGTAACATAAGTTACACTGTATTGGTCGGCGTTAGAATAGCGCGATGATCACTAATGTTTATCAAAGAAACTAATAAGTAATAAAATTATGTTGCCATCGATGTGAGTGAACGACCTCCGAAGGTCTTCATCCTGCATTCTTTGACCTAGAAAACAGGCCTACCATTAATACCTTGGCAAACTGGCGGAGTACCGCGTGTGTGACTAGCCGGACATACTTTCGCCAACCGTATCACTTATACACCTTTCCCTGGACAAAAAAAGTTATATTGCATTCCGTCGGTGCTACACATCCGTCACATCATCCGTTACATTATCATTATATTAATACCGCCAGAATTTTGCTTCGTATACAAGTTGTTTTGGACATTAACTATATTTGAATATAAGTATCATTAACTTAGATAATGTTATAAATGTGAATATTTAGACGAACTATTAACATTGATTTTTACTTAGAAAAGGCTTAAAAAGTGCAAACTATTGTTTTTAATTTTTTTTGTAAATTCATCGTATAAAAAATTCTATATTTATCAGGGTAGTCCAGAATTTTCATTTTATTGTTATTTTTTTTGGCCATATTGGTATAGTAACTTTCTATAAATGTAAAAACATTTAAGAAACTTGTTTCAAAAATTGTTTCTCAACTGGCGAGCCTAAAGTTACCAACTTCAAAAATCGTAATTTTTCTGGAGATTTTCCCCATTTACGGGAAACGAGAGAAATTTGTTTAAACTTTTGAAAGTGATGTTTTTAACTAAATACAATTTGTGATCTTTTGAGGTATCGTTGAAAAAATCAGTCAAGTAAGAGCTGAGAAAAAGTTGAGACAACCATAAAAAACACATTATAATAAAATTAATTTCTACTTAGCTTCATATCGAAGCTAAAAATTTATTGTTTTGTTATTGCGACATAAATGTATTTATTTTTATAAAATTTATAACTTTTAGAAAATACTAGTGAAGTTATTCTTATACAAATTTTTGTAAAATTAAATTAATCTCGAAATATTTTTTCTATAAACTTTTATTATTATTTATGATATTGTTAATAAATTGTTCACAGCAATTCTGTACTTCCTTTATGCAATACTTTATAATTTCTTCAATTTTTCCTCTATTACTACACATTATCTCAACAATCGAAGACAAATTATTTTTAACAAGTTGTTTATCCTGATTTATCTCGACATTTTTTAATTCTTTTAAATGGTTCAGTAATGCAGAATCTGATATCTCCATTACCTCCTTAATTACTTCTCCATTTTCTATCTTAGATTCTAAACAAATATAAGTTAGTTATTAATATTTTTTTATGTTTATTGTTAAAAAGAATTTAAATAATTATATATCAATTTTTTATAAATCCTTAATCTCATTATTTATATAAACTTCATGTTTTTTCGTTGCTGAGATTATATTTAATTTAATAATAATATTTATCAGTTTTGGAGAAGTAAAATTTCATTCATGCTTTAGTTATCTAATCAATACTATTTACAATTTTGATCAATTTTTTTTTTATTAAAGTTTAATTATGAAAGAGCCAAAAAATTTATGTTGAATTGCCTCAGTGAAAATAAATTTTTGCGCTCAGTAATACTGAGACACACAATTGTAAGTTAAAGGTTTAGAAAAATGGCTAAATAATTTTCAAAAATTTTTTTAAAGATCTAAAAGGTTTTGCCTTACACCCTTTTTTTAAAAATCTTTCTCGATCCATGAGAATTAATCCCATAAACTATTAGTTAAAATACAGTGTATTGGATAACTAGGGCATCTCATATTTGTGATCGTGGTAAGTATTTATTTGAATAGTCATACTATCAAAGAAAAAAATTGAATTATCAAACTATTGAAATAATATTCAATTTCAATTTTGGTACAAATTACAAATTGTATTTTTGTCTAATAAATATAGAGCAAATTACTTTTCACATTTTTCACTACCTACGATGGAGCAAAATACAAACAACCTTTTAATTCCATAAACGACTATCATAATGGTCGGGTATGATAACAATATTAATTGTATTAATTAAAAATTAGTGATCGGGTTATCAATTAAGACCCGACAACCCTTTATCATTACCGTGTTATTGTTTTAAGTGTTATATTGTGATCCTAGGTTGGGTATCCAGGGTGGCCCACCACTCACTGACAACTTAAATAACTTTTGATCCAGTTAATATTTTCAGCTGATTTCTTTTTTAAATATTAGATAGACGTTAGGTCTATAGCTATATCTCAATAATTAACTTTTTTACATTTTATTAAAAATATTAATTATTTTTAAATTTTAAATAAATTGTAAAAAAAAAATCTAAGATAGCTATTTTGTAGAGTAGAATTTAAGAAAAATTTTAGTAAAAAAATATTTTATTAATATTCAATAGTAAATATTCTGTAGCGTTTTGAAGTTTGTGAAAATTTCAATTTTAATGTACTATTTTACGGTATTAAACATTGAAATACGTATTGAGAAAAGGACAGAAGAAAACGCTATCTTTTCAATATACTTTTGAATGAGAGTGATAAGTAATAATTGCCTTATCTAATTTCTTATCATGGTATTTATGCCAAGTTTGTAATGTATACACACTATCATCATATGTATACACAGTAATCATGAAAAGATAGCGTTTTCTTCTGTCCTTTTCTCAATACGTATTTCAATGTTTATAACCGTAAAATAGTACATGAAAATTCAAATTTTTACAAACTTTAAAACGCTACAGAATATTTACTACTGAATATTAATAAGATATTTTTTTACTAAAATTTTTCTTAAATTCTACTCTACAAAATAGCTATCTTAGATTTTTTTTTTACATTTTATTTAAAATTTAAAAATAATTAATATTTTTAATAAAATGTAAAAAAATTAATTATTGAGATATAGCTATAGACCTAACGTATAACTATTATTTAAAAAAAAAATCAACTAAAAATATTAACTGGATCAAAAGTTATTTAAGTTGTCAGTGAGTGGTGGGCCACCCTGTATACACCAATGAATTAAAATCATTATAAAAATCACAGAAAATTAAATTCTTAAAATATTACCTTTATAACTAAATCTCTGATAAGTTAAATAAAGTTTTTTCTCACGAAAACAGTGCATTATGGAGTGTAATGATTCATCTACAGAGACAGTCTATAAATTAAAAGTATAATATTACTTAAAGACTTCACGTAAATCTAAAATAATAATAATGTGATACGGTTGGATTCTGTGACACAAGACAATTGCATGCTCCGTGTTGTACAAAAAACACGTCTGAGATCTCCTGTATGAGCCATTTCTTTACTTATTCCACAACTGGTAATTGACTGCGTATATTTCAGTACACAAAGTTGACCGAGCAGCTAATGGCCGTTCGTCACTTTTCTACCTTATTAGGTATAGTTGTCTCTATACCATCTAGTGACAAGTCCGTCAAAAGAAATGTGTTGAATTCTTATATTAAATGTTCAACGTAAAACCCCAAAAAAATAATAGAATCCGAATAGAACCCTATTCAAAATAATAAAGCCGACCTGAAACTGACCGGAAAGAATTCAAACCCGAACCTATTTAAAAAAGTTTTTAGTTCGAAAATAAATCAAAATTATGTCTTTAAAACTTTAAGTGGATATTTAAACTAAGTCTAACATCCCAAGTTCAAATAAGTTTACCTTACATATGAATTTATATAACAATATATTATTTAAAATTGTTACCGTTGCTTTAGTATATTCACTAGAATTACGAATTCTTTCTAGTATTTGTGGCGAATCTTCCAATGACTTATACATAGGTTTCATACTTATCTTTTCTTTAATATAATGTTTTATTTTTGTAAATTTATTATTTTTTTCCGTTGACATTGCATAACACATACTTATACCAATTACAATGATGAGATATGTTTCTTTATTCATTTTGTAAAATAGAGAATACAGTTTTGTAATTTCTTTGCTTTGTATTAAAAAATAAAAACAAGCTCTAAATTGAGAATATTGTCAATAGGTGTTGACTTATAAACAATTTTTTTTGCTATTTATTCTTTTTTTAGAAAATACAAACATTATTTAGTTATGTACATACAGTGAGTGTGTAGTATTTTCTGATAAATACAAAAAATAATTACTAAATATTTTCCTTTTTTAATTCTTAAAAAAAATATAAAATTGATTGAAAAATTAAATAAACTATTTACTAAAATATGCTTAATAAAAAATGTCGAAGGTACTAGTTATTTTAATCATTGCTATTACGAACCCTGATTTTTGTGGTCGAACCCAAACCAAATCAATAAATCAATTCAAATATTTAATCAAACACAAACCGAATATCAATTTTAATTATTTTTTGGCTAATAATTTTTATATTATTATTGAACAAAGTCTGTTTGATTTTGAATACACTAGATAGATTTTCGAACCATTTACAGGGAAAAAGTGAAGTGCGATTTTCGAACATCACTAATTTTAAATTTTAACCATTATGTAACTACGGCAATTTAGAATTAAATAATACATTTTTTTGTTATTCTATAATATCAAATATAGTGAAGTTAAATACAGACGGGATCCAAGAGGGGGTGACATCCTTCACACCCCTATAAAATCTTTCTTGATTAAGATAATTATAAAGACGAATAAATTCAATTTTTAAACGGTTGGGAAGTTAATTTGAAGAGAGTCAATTAAGGACTGACAACTACAGCAACATACGGCTACTAAAGAAATAAGATCATTTTGCTGGTTCTATTTATTAAGATAATATACCTATACTTTATACTATTATAGACAATACATGGCCTATTATGTATTGCTTTTTACCCGCCTAAGTTCATTATCCCTTATTCTTTTTACTTATAACTAAAAATAATTTTCTGCACGAAAATTCATTCGTAAAACTTTTATTGAAAAGGTGTTTTCAGAAATAATTGTATTACAGCCAACAAAGTAGCAAATTACAGAACTCCCGTCATGGTGTTACTGTTACTATTGAAAATTTAAAATTTATGACTTATTGTTGTATCTAAATATATCACATTTTAACACGCTATCGTTATACTGTAGCATCGAAAAAATCAATACCTTATAAGTAAAATTCTATAATTCTACATAACTTATATATGTCCTAAGAATTTATGTAACTAAAATAATGGTAGTCCTTAAGCATATACAGTGTGATTCTTTTAACCCTAGCCACTCGATTTCTCTTAATATAATAATTTCTTTTTGAATTTTGTTAGTTACTTCATTTATCTGTTATAAAATATTTTAAAAGTTCAAGGATATATATATATATATATAAATATATATGTATATATTATAGAAGTGAAAACTTAAGTTTTTTAAATGACAATACTTAACTAATTTATAAAACAGAAAATGACTGGTCGATAACAACTTATAGAGCAGTATTTCAGAAGTGGTGTTGATTGGGAGCTGCTATTTTTATCACTAGTTCTTTTTTTGATGTCACTTTTACTCTTGCATAGATAAAAAATTGTAAATAACTTTAGAAATTCTGATGTAAAAGTTATTATCAACTAGTCATTTTCTTTATAACACTTTTTAAGTTTATAAGATAGTTAAATATGTATGTTATCATTTTAAAAATTAAGTCGTCACTCCTTTAAGACAAAAGGGATAAACATAAAAAAAATTTTATAACAGAAAAATGAAGACATATATAAATATCTATTTAATTAACAAAAACAAAAAACCATATAGAAAAAAGAATTGTTAAAAAGATCTACTCAATTGAGCGTATTATAAAATTTAATTATAATTGTAAAAATCGATTGTTGAATTCAGATGAAACTAAAAGTCATTTTTTTTTAGATTTGTGTTTTAGGTTTTAATATAAAAAAAATAATTTTAATTTGTTCATTTTTCAAAAAGTTATGGCAATTTTAAGTATTAAAATATTTCATGTTAAACAATAATTTTTACGTAAAAATTATAAGTTTCGTTAAATTCGACGGCCATTTTCCTATAGAAGAAAAGATGACTAGACAAATTTTTTTATTTTGAACTTATAGTATTTATTGTAAGTTTTGACATATGTTTAATAGACGCAGTATTTCCGGAATATTTTCAAAAGTTAAATTGAAAAAGATTTACTTTTTAGACGTATTTTTCAAGTTTTGAACGCCCTCTGTATAAAGGGAAATTGTCTAATTTAAATTAAAAGTATGGTGATTAAAAGAGGTATATATAATGTATTTAGGAAAAAAAATGGTGTTGATAGATACATTTTTCTAAAAGTTATATCAAATTAAAGTTGAAAATTTTAAATCGACATTTTTAACACAAAAATAGCATTTTTTTAACTATGGCAGCCGTTTGCACGTAGAAGATAAGGTGTCGGGACAAATTTTTTTTTTCATTTTATAGTACATGACATAAACTTTAATTTGATATACATTTAAAGGATGTACTATTTCCGAAATATTTTCAAAAGTTAAGTTGAAAAAGCTAGTTTTTGTAAAAAAGTTGCTATTTTAAATCCCTCCCTGGGTTAAGTGTTGAATTTTCAAAAAAATGATATCGAATGAAAGGGAAATATCTGCGGTATCAATAAAACAAAAAGGGACGTTGTTTTGTTAATGTTTAAAAAAGTTATGGTAGTTTTAATAAAAAAAAGGGGAAAAAATGACAAAATTTACTAATTTGAAAAATTGGATTTTTTTTGGAAATTTCCTCTATTTACTGGGAATGAGGGAAATTTTTTTTAATTTAAGGATAATGTCTTCAACTAGATACAATTTGTGATCTTTTGACATATTGTTCATCAAAATCGGTCCAGTGCGACCTGAAAAAATGTGGCAACAGTCACAATATCGTAAACACATTATCGTAAAATTAATACCTTCTCAGCTTCGCATCGAAGCTAAAATTAAAAAAACATACCATATAAATATAACCAAAAATAAAAAAATACATTTCAATTTTTTTTTCAAATTTTTGTAAAAATGTTCTTATGGTTCCAGAAAAAAACTAAGATTTTCTAACGTCTAATGAGTACTAAAAATATATTTATTATCTTCACTAATAATATTTCTGGGGTAAGGCGACAGTTGTTTCATAAAAAAAAAAAATTTTAAATCGTAGCTCATTAAATAATTGTTTCCAAAATTAGCACTTTGTACTTGTTTTAATATAAATCAACTTATGTAAAATAGAAATAGTATAATAATGACATTTAAATAATAATTACTTTTAAATATAAATTTTCAAACTATTAGTATAATTAATTTGCCAACTAAAGTAAATAAAAACTAATTGTAAACTAAATAAAGTTTTATTCGTATTTGCTCAACAGATGCAGTTCTAGACATAATTTTCAGGCGTTGTGGAGTGAATTTTGCTGACTGTTGGAGATAAATCTGCCAACTTAAGTACCTTGATGAGTAAAAAGTCTAGAAATTTATTTTAAAAATGCTAACTTCTAATGACTTTGTTGTACATTTTGAAGTTGTGGGTAACATACCCCCCTCCCATCTTATAAAATTAACCATGATATCCATCAGTAAATTTCATATAATATACTATTTTCTATCTCTTCATTCATAATATACAACAAATACATTGTTATTTACAGCAAATGCTTAATTTGCGAGTTAATATTTATAATTTTCTATAATTGCAGTAATTAGGTTTTAAGTAACAATTATTATTGCGCAGTTTTTTAATAATCGTTGTTATTAACTGTAAATAGAATAAATTTGCGTTAGAAATAATTTATTTGAACTAACATATAAACTATTGAATTATCTGTAACGTACATACGTAATATTTACCTACACGTTATTGAAGTAGTCATAGATTACATATTAAAAATTTAAGTAAAATTCTTTATAGAATGATCATATTATTTTGTTTAAATAAACCAAATTATTGAGTAACAAATTAAGAACAAAATAATTCACGATTATACTTTGGGTATTTTGGACATTAAGTTTGAATTCATTATCTAGTAATTAAAAGTATAATAAATGGAAATAGTTTCTCAAATCTTTAAAACCAGATTACTTTAATTAAAGTAACCTGGGGAAGATGACGTATGGGGTAAGATAATTTATTATCAATTATTTATTTAGATTTTAAATTATGGTCAAAATGTTTGGTGTTTATATATTTACACTAATAGGTTATAAATAATAAACAGTATAACCATATTTTTAAATTTAAATAATTTATTGATACTAACTTATCTTAACCCAAAATACTCTTTAATTTATAAAATTTAATTTATTTTGATGTTTTATTCTTTTATATTTTGAATTAATTAATAATTGATACAACATTCATTAAATACCATTACATTTAAAATTAGTCTCTATATATTTCTAAAATAGTAAAAAGTAAAGTAAAATAGTAAAGTTCATCGAATTTTAGGATAATTCATAGTATAGTGTTATATTGCTATAGTTTTTGAACTGTTATATTAAATTAAATAGATTATATTATTATATTTTGAAAAAGGTATCAAAAATAATTTTAGAATATTTATGTAGTAAAAATTTGAAAGTTTAAATATTACTTGGTTCTTATTAAAACATACGTGAAAAACTAAACTTTAGTGGAGCTAAATAAATAGCTGATATGTATAGTAACAAATTAAAATCTAAATTAGTTCAAGTACACTAAAATACATTAATGTAGATTGTTGTATTATTTTTGACTTATTAAAAATCAACAAACAAAACAAAAATGTTTTTACTAACACATGTTTCTGTAAATATAATATTGTGAAATTAATTGTAATTATTGAAAACACTAACAAAATATAATTACTCATTAATATAGGCAATAAGTATAAAACCAGTCTAAGCCATCAAAAAAATAGTTCTTGTTTTGAAAATTTGACTGCTATCGTATTAAATACCAAATTAAGTTTAATTCGTCTGGATTGTTTAGTTATTCGTAATTATTATATTAAAATGAAAGCGTACATTAATTTGTGTCTGACCATAATTATTTTACAGGTAATAACTACAATATTACAATCTTGTATTAAATCTATGCATTTAATTGATTTATTTCATTTAAATGTTTAACTAAAAATTTAAACTAATGTTTAATTTCAAGATGAACAATAAAAAAATAATCGATAAAATATAATTACAAATATTGATTTTAAAAATGCACTAAGTTTTTATTATAAATTAGAAAAAATATTTACTCTTTAAAATTTTAAGAAAAATTTGTTAGAATCCTATTCAAAATCATAGATTAGATGACGCAAAAAGTATTACATTTTTGAATTAAAATTAATATTATTTAAGTAAGACTGAAGGTAAGGAGCGAGTGCTTCTATTATTATCATTAGATATTACTTGGCGAGAGGATGGCGAGGTCACTCTTCCTCTCGCCAAGATATAATAACGTAAACAAATTCAAGCTGTTATCAACATGACATTTTCATAATTCTAATAAATAATCTAGTATATATAATTATATATACTAGATTATTTCCATTTGAAAAATTAAAGTTGACATTCCATTTTATACCAAGTTAAGGTATAAAAGGATGAAGATCAAAAATAATTCATGACTAATATGTTGAGAAAAATATGTAACTAGATGAAAACCATTCAAAAAAATGTTAACATTATTTTTTGACTAATTAAATGGTTTGTTATAAATCCAATACAAATTGTTAACTATTATAGGTTTTATTGTATAGCCACTATATTATAGTGACTATTATAATGCATGGATGTATTATATCAATACACTTTCAAGTGACAATATAAAATTTATATTGAAAAATAAAAATTATAAGAAAATATGATTTTATAATGCTTTTTTCTTATTTTAATAAGATACTGTTGTATAATTATATAAATATTAAGCTATAGTACAATAATTATGTATGTGTTACTGTTAAAACTTAGAAGAATAGTTGTATTGATTATCTGAAAATCTATAAAAAAAAAACTCGTCAATGAAAAAAATAATGATTCAAACACATTAGCGTGTATTTAATTATGGGCTAAACGTAACAGGTCATGGGAATGTAAATATAATTTTCTCTTTAAAATAATAGTTAAAGTTATTTCACACTTAATTTATATTGACATATTTTAATAAATATTCATCGTTTTGTTTTAGACATTCCATGTATTTCAGCAAACCAGAGCTAATCAAGTAAAATAACTTATTTATTAGTATTATATTAATAATATACAATATTAATATTAATAATGTACAATATTAATAATTTTATGTATTACTCTATTGGTTTATTTATATGTATTTCAAACCATGTTAGGTACAATAACGCTATATGAAATCGAACGGTTCCAAAATGAGTATCATAAAAAGTACAATAAGTATCACCTTGATATCTGTATCTTTATAAATGTTGTTTATTTTATTTATTTTTAGTACTTTAAGCTTTATTCCATTTATGTATTTATAGTCTTATTATTAAATTTACATATGTCTGAGTAAATGAAATTTTTATTTATATTTTTTTTTATTAATATTTTCAATAAAATACAATATTGTATTACAATTTCATTTTATTAAAAATAGAAAAAGATTCCATTTTTTAAATACCGTTCATTTAATTTAATAAGGCAGCAATATATTGATGGTATACAAGGCGATTCCTTAATTACGTCTCACTTAATTTCTTTGATAATTTAAATGAAGTAAAAACTTTTTTTTACAAAAGTGTCGTATTTTCCTATGCACTCCAGTTTTATAAAAACATTTAGATCTATTCCTCTGCTCTCTCAAAATTAAATCAACATTGAAGAATAATCTAGTTAAGAAAATGTGTAATTAATTACATATTTCATCCAGTATTTTGGATTTAGTTAATTTTATATGTTATTATTTAAAAAACTCAAGTTGAATTCATTTTGAGAGATAATACGAGACAATATAACTATATATGTTTATTAAAATTATAAAACAAAACAATTGTTTTATCTTTCCTTATATTTTTATATACAGAGTGTTCAGTAAGTAAGGAAACAGATGTATTGTTACAAACGATGAGAACAATAGAAACCCGATTCATTACTTACTGAACACTCTATAAATCGAATGAGGTGTAATTAAAGAATTACTTTGCATCGATTTCAGAAATATTAGTGAGGTAAAATCTAAGTTTATTATATATTTAAAAATAGACAATCTGTGACAATAATTTTAGGAAAAAAAATTTTTACTGGTCGTGTAACACGTTTTAAATAAATTGACCAAAAATACCCACAAAAAACAAAATTTACTAAACCACTAAATTTTTGGTGAATATCAAAAGTAACAAATCTATTTTATATTATTATTAGTGCATAATACTAATACAGGATTTTCAGTAACTAAGGAAACAGGTAAATTGTTTCAAACAATGAGAACAATAGAAACCGGTTTCCTTACTTACTGAACAGCCTATATAATATACAAAATTATATTCGTATATACAAAATATGCAAATATAATTTCTTTTACATAAAATAATTGTTAATGTTTTAAATGAAAAGGTTTCTATTGTTCTCATTGATCATAATAATTGACCTCTGTTTCCTTACCTTTTGAACAGTCTGTATTAAGACTTGTTCCTCAGGTGCAAATTATAGCCAGAGTAACCAAAAAGAAATTGTTTAATAATTCTAACTTTTGATTTTATCAAAAAAATTATATATATATATAAGTTTTATACTTGAAGCTGAGTAAAATAAAAAATTAATTACTTAAAATACGCGTAATTATCAACAAATTAAAAATTCAAAATAAAATAATATATTTTTTTTATTAAGTTTTCGCCTTGTAAATGTACTCATTAATCATACAATTTTGGTAATTACATAATCAATTTGTACTCGGAATTTTGAAATAAAACAGCTGCGTTATTCAATTAAAATAATACTAAATACATAGATATGCTGTTTATAATATTCCACCAAAAATTCAATGGTTTAAGTAATTATTGTTTTTTGGTCAATCTATTTAAAACGCTTCGCGTTAAAAGTAAAATAAAAAAAAAATTAATCTCAATTTTCCACAGATTGTCTATTTACAAATATAAAATATATTTAGGAGGTATCCCACTAACATTTCTCTTCGTGATCTCTTCAAAAGAAGAAACGCTGGCCCGATTATACCTAAAAAACAATGCGTAATTTAATAAAATATAAAGTATGTTCTTACAGGGATTAGATACAAATATTTCAACAACAGATGTTTTGGGATCTACTGGATATGCCAATAGAGTACCTATGAACTACAGAGGTAGAGTTTCAACTGATACACATAATGTACATGAAGTTGACGGCGCAAACGGTGGGAATACTGGATATGGAGTTAGTGGTGGGAATACTGGATATGGAGTTAGCGGTACAAGTGGTGGGAATACTGGATATGGAGTTAGCGGTACAAGTGGTGGAAATACTGGATATGGAGCTAGAAATCCGAAATACACGATTAATGAAAATGGAATTGGTGAAATACCGAATGTGAATAGTGATAATAGATTTAGCGGTGTGAGCAGCGGGAATACTGGATATGGAGCTAGAGAGCCAAACTACATAAATAATGGAAATAGAGTCAGTGAAATACCCAACACGAACAGTGGATATGGAGTTGGTGGTACAACCAGTATGAAAACTGGAAATTTGGTTAGAGATACAACCAACACGAATTATGTGAATGGGGTTAGTGGCACGAGTGTAGCAAATGATCAAACTAACACTTCTTCTCAGAAAGAAATGATCAATCAATCTAGAAAACAGTTAATGGAATCTCTTAAGACCACTGGCGCTAACCGGGTGGTAGATGTCTTAGATACTGCAAGTATTGCGACCAAAGTAGCCGATAACGTTATGACGGGTATTACGGACTTAAATCACAACGGCCTAAGTCTCACTAATCGTGTAGCGATGAGAAAAATACAAATGGGTGGCAAAGCTATGAACACAGCTGCTAGTGGTGTTGAGGGACTCATAAGCGGCGTAGAACAAATTGGAGGAGCTGGTGTTGAGGCTACAAAATCGGTATACAATCCAGCAGTGGCCACAACGGCTAACATGATTAGAGGCAGTGGTCGTGTTATCGCTATACCAATAAAAGTAGCGAAAACTGTAACAGGTTTTATTGGAGGCGAACGCACTAATACTGCAACACCGGTAGCAGCAGTCGCTTGAAAATCAAGTTAAATATAAATTGATAAAAAACAAGCGTAATTAGCAGTCATATAAAAATATATTTCACTGTGCTCACAAGAATTTTATTTGTCTCATGCATTAGGCATAATGCTTATAATTTTTTTCCAGATTTTCGTTAAATCATTTTTAGTTATATTTTATTATTTGGACAATATGCTTCAGTAAATAACAAAATGTAATACTATAATTTTACTACATTTATTTTCATTTTTAAGCTAAATAGTATTTTATAAAATTGATTTTTGTAATAACATTTTGACTTGAAATTTAACTTTACACATTTCAAAATTTATAGCACATGACTATAACTTTTTATTAAATATAGTAATAACTACAATAGAGTTTTGTTATATTTATTTTTTTTTAAGTATATTTTTAGTATCAAAGGTCAAAGAATTGAGTTATATATTATTTTTAATACATTGTTTTACCAGATTATTTGTAATTATCTATTATCCAATTGAACAGTGAATATATTATATTGTATTGTATTGTTTATGACAATTTTTATACTAAGACTCCAAATTATGTTACTATCAGTAGTTTTTATATTATATACATTGATATTAGCGAATTTCGGTCGGGAATAAACCTAATAAATTTATTTAATACTTTTTAATATTATCTATAATATATTTAATAAATATATTACTAATATATTGACGAGAAAATCTGTAATTAATCAAAAGATATTTATATTTTGATACATTTCCAGGTCGTAGAAAAAACATTTTTATAAAAATTGATACAGTTTTTTTGTTTAAAAATTATTTAATTAATAATAAATCGATATGTATTACAATTTTTATACAATATATATGTATATTACTGAAGATTAATTTTCAGAACACTAATAACGAATTTTGCACGGGCATAATACCATCTATTAAAATCCTATTAAAATATTAAAAAATTAAGTTTTAATAACATAGTAATAATACCAAAATAGTTAATAGTGATGGATGTCTAATTTTGTATCAAGTTCAATTCTTCTTCTTTTTCGCCTTTATTTCCACTACTTGGGTTCGGCCACCGTTATCCTAAATTTCCACTTGACACGATCTCCCACATCATTTTTGCACACATCAGCCGTCCTTATATCACATTCAATTACATCTCTCCTTCTCTTTTCTCAAGAGCTGATCTCAACACCTCTAGCCTTTGATTAATTTCCTCCCTATTTTCTCCTATTAACACTATATCGTCAGCAAACAACATGCACCACGGCACCTCTCCCTGTATTTCTCTAGTAATTTCATCCATTACTATAGATAATAAGTAAGGGCTTAAAGCAGAACCTAGGTGCACTCCTACTCCTACCCTAAAACATTTTGTTACTCCTCCAACACTTATGTCTTCAACGCTGGTGTTACGAGGTTCACACCTACCCGTACGAGTGAATTCTTTTGTATTTTTTTCTTAATTATTTCGGATTTATAAAAACATTTAAAGTTTATTTGATTTTTATCTTATTAAAGTTCAATAACTTCATTAAAGATTAAGGGAAATAAATTTCTTATTCATTTAAAAAATATTTTATTATATGGACTTTTTTAATTTTCTCAGCTTTCACTTGACCTACTTTTACGATAAAAATACAAACAAATATTGTTTTTCTGATAAATTTACTGTTAAAAGTAATTGTAATTTTCCCGTCTGCATATTAATCTTAAAAATATCATTTTTTTAATTATTATAAAATTTTCTATTTAGTAATGTCAATTTCATTCAAGTTGAACAAAAAGTTATGATAACAAATTCAACATTTTAGCTTCGATGCGAAGCTGAGAAGGTATTGGTTTTACTAAGATGTGTTTTTTTTTTTTTTTT